AAGGGGATGAAGCAGTACAGTGCAGTGTCTATTTGCATGGTCATGGTTCTGACCTTTTTACACTTTTTAAGGAGGAAAATTTTCTCTGTGGATTGAAAGAGCAACTCTCCTTTCTTAGACCTCAGATGGATCACAACTGCATGGATGGTTATCTCATACTTCACAGTGTTTTGCACCCAGACAGGCAGTGATGTGTCATTGTTCTCAGGCAATTATCTGATAGAACAGTTGGGAAGATTAAGTGAAATAACATTTATTCTTCTCAGACTACCAGGCACATGGTAAGTACTAAGAAAATGTAAGTGTAATCTGACCCAGGAATGAGTGATAAAAGTAAGAGTAATTTACAGAGAAGCATGAACATTCAACCCAAATGAAAATAAGCAATAAATATTTTGGAGACAACTGAGTGGTCACTTGCATCATCTGACTGGGGTCAGGAACTAACAGATATTGTACAGACTCCTAGAGATTGTAAGGTGGAGCTTGGAAGACGCCAGTCTCAGTGTTGCTGGAACCCTGCATTGGTAATGAGATTATGACATACTCATGTCAATTTGGTGACATGAGTGTGCTGTGAGTCATTTCCCATGCATGCGTAATTGGTCCATTTTTCTCCCCTTGTTTTGACAGGTGAAACACAATTTCAAAATTGCATCCATGGAGAACAGCACTGAAGTGAAAGAATTTAGACTCTTGGGACTGACTGACATCCCAGAGCTGCCAAGTCCCCCTCTTCATAACATTTACCCTGATTTATCTCATCACTCTTGTTGGAAACCTGGGGATGATCACGTTGATTCTGTCAGACTCTCGTCTCCACACGCCCATGTATTGTTTCCTCAGTAACCTCTCTCTGGCAGACTGTGTTTACTCCTCTGCCGTCACTCCCAAGGTGATGGCTGGGCTTCTCACAGGAGACAAAGTTACCTCCTACGGGGGATGTGTTGCTCAAATGTTCTTCTTTGTGGCCTTTGCCAGTGTTGACTGCTTTCTACTTGCCATCATGGCCTATGATCGTCATGCAGCAGTATGTAAGCCCTTACATTACACCACCACTGTGACCACCAGTGTGTGTGCTCAGATGGTGATGGGCTGCTATGCCTGGGGTTTTCTTGAAACTGCCATCTACACTGGGTCCACCTTCTGCCTCTCCTTCTGCCATTCTAATGTGGTCCACCACTTTTTCTGTGATATCCTCCCAATCCTGGCTCTTTCCTGCTCTGATACCTACATGAATGAAATTGTGCTCTTCATATTAACATCTTTCAATGTCTTTTTTGCTCTGATAGTTATCTTGACCTCCTATTTACTCATCTTCATTTGCATCCTGAGCATGCGCTCAGCAACAGGACGGAAGAAAGCCTTCTCCACCTGTGCATCTCACTTCACTGCTGTAACCATATTCTATGGATCTATAATCTTCATGTACCTACAACCCAGCTCTAGTCATTCCATGGACAATGACCAAATGGCATCTGTGTTCTATACAATAATCGTCCCCATGTTGAACCCAATTGTCTATAGTCTAAGGAATAAAGAGGGTAATAATTCTTTCAGGAAAGCCATTGAGAAGATGAAGACTCTGCTCAGCTCATAATTTTAATTAGGGAGATTATATAATCTGTATAGTTAATTGGTTATCTGTTCTTGTGCAACAAACTATCCCAAAACTTACTGGCTTAAAACAATTGTTCATTGCTTTTTATAATTCTGTGAGCAGGACAGTCCTTTTGTCAGTTTCACCTGGACTTACTTGTGAGGTTGCCTATGTTCCAGAAGGTTAGCTTGTCTGTAAGATCCAAGGTGGCCTCATTCACATGAATGGATATTGAAGCTTGCTGCTCTCTAGGTCACCTTATTTCTTTTCTACATAGTCTTTCATTCCCCAGAAACTGAACCAGCTTTCTTACATGACATCTTCAGGCCAGAATTCTCCCAGTGTAAAAGCAAAACTGAATGGCTCCTTGAAGTCTAGACTCCCAAACTTCATACAACATTTTTTCCACCTCATTATACTTGTCACTGCTAGTCAAAGTGCAGACCCAGATTCAACTATGAGGAAAGTAGCTGCAAAGAATTTGTGGCCATAGTTAATCTATCACAGTTAGAAATTAGACTAAACTGCTGCAGCAAAGAAAGCCAAATATACTGCATTAATAAGAGAGCAAAGTATTTCTCAAGCATCAGTAGCTAATGTAGAAGTGTGAAAATGAACTGTCTAGACTGCTGTGATGTTTTAGTCATTCTGGAATACATGTTCCATTTCATGTTGTCTCTATCATCTCCAAGAATGATGAAACTCTGTTCCAATTATAACTATTATAGCTGGAGGAAAGGAAAAAAGAAGTGATGGAGGAAAAACAATTTATTTTCTAGCAAGTGACGTAATAGCCATACATATTACTTTTAAGCACATTCCATTGGCAAGAATTCAGTCATGTGGTCAAAACTAGCTGCAAAACTGACTTTAAATTTTAATCTCTAGCTGAGTGGCAATGCATTTAGCTGAAATCCCCAATACTCTAGAAGAAGAAGAGAATGGAGTTTTGAGGAAAACCAAGAGTCTGCCACATGATTTGTACCTGAATCTGAACTGACAGATTTATCTCCCAAATGGGATCTCTAACTGTTTTTTTTTTTTCCCCTCCTGGGACCTCTTTTCCTAGAACTTGGATTACTTCTCAAATAAGCCCTTTCTTGACCACTCCATTTAAATATTTACCCTAAGTAATCCCTTACCTTCCTATATCTTCTTCATAGAATTTAAATAAATCTTTGAAATTATATGATATATTTGCTTAATTGTTTGTTTTCCATTTCCTCCAAATAAAATGTAATATTATACATGTAACATAACCTGTATGAACTAGCCCCCAAGTTGGCTAGATTATTTTTTAACTTATTTGAAAAGTGAAGATTATGTAATTTGATGATGTATTAGATGTGAGTGTGAGAAAAATAATTACGAAGATTTTTGTTTGTTTTGTATAACTTAGTTTTCTAAGGAAGGATAAATTGACCACTATGTGAGATGTGAAAAATTATGATGGTAGGTTTGTGATGATGGGAGGAGGCCATGAGTTTCATTTTGTGCATATGAAAGTTGCGATGTCTCTTGGATGCCACCAGCAAAAGTTAGTACTGGAATGAACATATAAACTGCCAAAAGAATAGATTTTAAGTGTTTTTAATCACAAAAAATAATAAGCATGTGAGATGATGGATTTGTTGATTAACCTGATCTAATCATTTCACATTGTAAACATACAAAAGCCATTTATTACAAGCCCACCGGCAGTATTATTCTGAATGGGGAAAGATTGAAGGCCTTCCCCTTAAGGACAGAAACAAGACAAGGATGTCCACTCTCATCACTTCGATTCAACATAGTACAGGAGTTACTAGCTAGAGCAGTCAGGCAAGAGAAAGAAATAAAGGGAATCCAGATTGGAAAAGGTGAAGTCAAACTTTCCCTATTTGCAGATGACATGATACTATATATAGAAAAACCTAAAGACTCTATCAAAAAACTCCTAGAACTGGTTAATATCTTCAGTAATGATGCAGGATACAAAATAAATGCCCCAAATCAGTAGCATTTATATACTCAAATAATGAATAAACAGAGAAATAAAGAAAGTAAGCCCATTTACAATTGTCACCAAAAAAATACAATACCTAGGGATTGATTTAACCAAGGAGGTGAAAGAACTCTACAATGAGAATTACAAATCACTTCTGTAAGAAATTAAGAAGATACAAAAAGATGGAAAGGCATTACATGCTCTTAGATTGAAAGAATTAACATTGTGAAAATGTCTATATTATCCAAAGTGATCTACAGATTCAATCTACAGATGCAATCCCCATCAAAATACCAATGACATTCTTCACAGAAATGGAAAAAAAACAATCTTCCCTTTCTATGGAAAAACAAAAGACCCAAAAATAGCCAAAGCAATCCTGTGCAAAAAAAAAAACAAAGACACAGGCATAACTCTGCCTGACTTCCAATTATACTACAAAGCTGTTGTAACCAAAACAGCATGGTACTGGTATAAAAATAAACATTCAGACCTGTGGAGTAGAACAGTGAACCCAGAAATCACTCCTCAGGCTTATAGCCATCTGATATTAGACAAATGCAACAAAAATATAAATTGGGGAAAAGATTGCCTCTTCAACAAGTGGTGCTGGGAAAACTGGATATCCGTATGCAGAAGAATGAAACTAGAGATGCATCTCTCGCCATACACTAAAATCAACTCAAAATGGATTAAAGGCCTAAATATAATACCCAAAACTGTAAAATTACTAAGGGATAATACAGGTGAAACACTTCAGCAGTTAGGTCAGGACACATGCTTTATTAACATGAGCCCCAAAACACAAGCAGCAAAAGAAAAAATAAACAAATGGGACTATATTGAACTAAAATGTTTTTTGCACAGCAAAAGAAACAATCAACGGAGAGAAAAAAACAACCTACAAAATGAGAGAAAATGTTTGCCAACTATGCATCCTACAAGGGATCAATATCCAGAATATACATAGAACTCAAGCAATCATACAGTAAAAAAATAAATGACCCAATTAAGAAATGGGCAAAAGAGCTGAATAGACATTTTTCAAAGGAAAACATACAAATGGACAACAGATACATGAAAAAAAAATGCTCAACATCACTAGTCATCAGGGAAATGCAAATTAAAACCACACTGAGAAACCACGTCACTCTATTTAGAGTGGCTATAATCAAAAAGACAGTGAATAACAAATGCTGGCAAGGGTGTGGAAAGAAGGAAACACTACTACACTGTTCGTGGGACTGTAAAT